GATTCGCGAGCTCTCCGGTACACTCTCCTCTTTACAGTCTCTATTGTCGGAATGTCAACGCACCTTAGATTCTCTCTCGGAAAGTCTAGCTTTAGACCACTCTTCTCTTCTCCAGAAGAACGATAGTGGCGGTTTTGTTCGGTGCCCTTTTGAACCTAATCACCTTATGCCACCAGAAGCTCTCTTCCTCCATTCACTTCGTTGCCCAAAGCCTCTTGACTTCACTCATCTTCTTGAATCCTTTAGCAGTTACCGGAACAAGCTCGAGTTACACTGTGAACCACAGTTGAATAATGGAGATGGTGATCTCTGCTTCTCCTTAGATGACTTAGTCGATTTTGGGACGAATTTCTTCTACAGAGATTGCCCAGGTGTTGTTAACTTCTCTGAGCTTGATGGTAGAAAGCGAACTCTAACACTTCCTAGTGTTCTATCTGTGGAATGTAGCGATTTTGTAGGTTCTGATGAGAAAGAGAATAAGAGTATGTTTGAGAAATGGTTAGGGATTTTGCCGTCTGATTTCTGTGCAATGAAAAGTGAGATTGATCAATGGAGGGATTATCCAAGTTCGTATTCCTTTCGTGTTCTTTCTTCGATTATGAGTATAAAAGCAATTGAAATGAGCGAGTTGAGCATATGGATTCTGGTTAATTCTACGAGATACGGTGTTATAATCGATACATACATGAGGGATCATATATATATGGTTTTTCGGTTATCTCTGAAAGCGGTTGTGAAAGAAGCTTGTGGATTTATGATAGAGTCTGATGCTAATGGAGTTGGTGAGGATCAGATTATGAGCTGCAAAAGAAGAACATTTGAGTGTCCAGTCTTGATTCGAGTGTTGTCTTGGTTAGCTTCTCAACTTGGTATCTTGTATGGAGAAGGAAATGGGAAGTTTTTTGCTCTAGATATGTTTAAACAGTGCATAATAGAATCTGCCTCTCGAATAATGTTGTTTCGGTCAGAAAGAACTAGCGCTAAATCCTCTGGAGTTCTCGAGGATTTGGATGACGCTAACGTTAGCAATAAGATGGAGAAGCCCTTTGAGAATAATTCAGGTGGGGAAGTTGGCAAAACTTTGGACAGCGCTCAGGTGATATCTGTGTCCCGTGTTGCAGCAGCTGTTGCAGCGTTGTATGAAAGATCCGTGCTTGAAGGAAAAATAAGGGCAATTCGATATGCCCAACCACTAACAAGATATCAGCGGTAGGTTTCAAATCTTCGAAAGGGCTATTCTATTATTATTTTTCCCATTTGATTCTCTGTCTATCTTGCAGTTTCTAATATATAGTATTTAAGGTTAATATCATGTTTGGATCTGAGTTTGATTCCTCGTGGTGTTTTCATCAATTTTTAGGGTGGCTGAGCTTGGTGTTATGACAGCTAAAGCTGATGAGGAACGGAAAAAACGTCCTAGCTACCGAGCTATTATCGATCATGATGGTCTTCCAAGACAACGCTCATCAAACGAGGTTAGTATAAATCATCTGTTCTATCAACATGAAAGAAGTAAATATTATTGTATACTATCATTTAGGGAACACCTATTGAAGGAACCGAGATAAATACTATGTATGTTGCATAATGTGTAGGAAATGAATAAATTGAAGACAAAAGAAGAACTTTTAGCTGAAGAGAGGGATTACAAGCGTCGGAGAATGTCATACCGTGGTAAAAAGTTGAAACGAACGCCTCGAGAGGTAAGAAGCTGCTTTCTTTTCTGTTCCTATGAATGTAAAATCAAAAGTCTTGTTGGAATTTTTTCATGAAATTGTAGAATGCTTTATGCAGACTTTTCAATTACCTGTGATATACTAAATCGCACTTTAATTTATAGATCATATGACGTTGTTAGCATTAAACTTTCCTTATTCTCTCTGAGTGGATTTTCTCTGTCTTATGTCTTGTTTAGGTGTTGCGGGATATAATAGAAGAATATACAGAAGAAATTAAGCTAGCAGGAGGCATCGGATGTTTTGAGAAGGGAATGCCATTACAGTCCATGTCTTCTATAGGCAACAATCAGAAAGAAAGTGACATTGGATACAATAGTGCATCATCAATATTATCAGATGCATCACCAAGATTCTATAAGCAATGGAAAGGAGAGAACCGTGCAGATACTGAATATCCAATGGAAATAACAACCAAGAGAGATAAAGGAAAGCGGTCTGAGGAGTATGATGCACATTCAGGTAGCTCACAGAGACAGCAGAGTTATCGCAGTCACAGGTCATATAAGCACAATGATCAAAGAGATGAAGTCACAAGGACTGAACGATATAGCCCCGAAAGGAAATCTTACCATCAAAATCACAAATCATCTCATGGTAAGAGTTATTCAAATTATAACACCAAAAGGGATGAACGCCGCAGTCGAGGATCGAGGAATCAGAATTCGTTTGAAGATAGATACAATCCACTAGAAAAGGAGTGAACTCAAAAGAAGGTAAGTCATTTTAAAACCATCTCTCTTATATCCTTATAACTCTCGTGTGGGCTGGCCTGACTTTAAAATGGGATGGTTTATTCCGATAATGTTGCAGTAAAAGTTTACCTGGAGCATCGGCAATTATGTGTGAATCTGTATCCTCTTTTGTATCCTTGACCATGATTCTTACTTTATTGCATCTAAGTGTTGATGAAAACATTCTTTTTATTCAACTTACTTGGTGATACCCAATTTCCAGCTACGTTTGATGTTGGTTTCTTGGGTACATAGATTCACTATAGAGTTTCAGTTTTTTTTCTTCTCCTTTGCTTGTGCCAGATTGAAGTTAATTCAAGTATGTTTTTGCTATGAACAAGCCATGAGATTGCTGGGAAGAAATGGGAACTCCTCAAGAGTTTGTCATGGCGAGAGATCGCAATGTTCATGTCTGGTAGATTTAGGAACTGGATGAAGTTATGTTAACCCCGGACTGGTTTAGCTTCTGCTGTTATTCCGGTTTTGTTTTACCAAACTTTTGTAAAAACAACGTTCGTGTTTTTTTATTCACGTTTCTTGGTATAACACGAGAAGTATGTAACGTGTGACAAAAGAAAACTGTGTAATTTCAAGAAGAAACCAAAGACATCACTCGTTTGAAACTTCGGTGACGAAGACGATGAGCAGAGCCATTAGTCTTCTCGGAAGAACCATCAATGGCTAATCCTCGACCACTGAAACACAAGTACCTATTCATAAAAGACCCATGTTTCTTCATCGCAGGTGTTCTTCTTCTTCTCTCTAACTCCGAAGAAACTGTCTGAAACGGCGAAGAACAAGCCGACGATGGAGCTCGTGAGTAATCGGAAACCGCCGGTGGCGAAAACACGAACCTCGGAGATTCCTGAACCACGACACCTCTCATTAAACCTTCTGTGAATTTCAATCTCACCGATAAACTCGGGAGATCGCCACTTTCTGTTCTCATCGGAAACGCTCTTCCTATGTTACAAGATGGCGATCGCGATCTCGAATACATCTCTCTGAGAGGAACACGACGATTTTGGTTGTCTCCGGAGAGACGGCGATGTTCCTCTGATTCTTCTCTCTTTGCCCATCGTAATAGTAGCTTAAGACGCCCTCCTGTACCGCCGCGTTTGCGTTTGGAGTGCGTCGACATTTCGGTTGAACACTCACTGATTCCGTCTAAACTCTCTCTATCTGGACTTAATTCAGCGTTCACTGCGGTTTGATCCGATCTCGCCGCGGTGAATAGAAAAATCTCAGAATCAGATATTTCAAACGAAGTACCAGGACTACCGCAGAATCCGTACCGCTCTTCTCTACACCGCAAAACGTTTTCGCCGCAGTTTGATCTCCCACCGGCGGATTTAAGCCGTTTGATCAATAATTCAGAAACCGGCGTTTGGCGTTCAAGTAAATCGACGGCAGTCATTCCATATGAATCAACGACGTTAAGATCAACGCCAGGGATTCTCAACAGAATCTCAACGACGTCAGATCTAACGGTGTTAAGATTATCCATCACTGCTAAATGAATCACAGTTCTTCCGTTACCGTTTCTAACGTTGACAATCACAGATAAGTCAACGACATAACATGAGATTAACTTCTTCAAAAGCTCCATTTGCCGGTCTAACCGCTTAAACCCAGACGCAGCAAAACCAGACACGACCGTGTGAAGAAACGTGTCACCATCTCCGTTAACGATGGAAATCAACGGTGGAGATTCGTTTATAAGAGCCTTCACTGCATCTAAATGACCTTTGTAAGCAGAGACATGTAAAGCTGTGTTTCCATGGCTGTCTTTAACCTCCATTATCGATTCATACTTCGATATTAGATACTTCACAACC